CCCGGACGGGGGTGCGGTGGCGGGGAGCGGCCACTGCAGCCTCGACTTGCTGGGCTCCGGTGATCCTTCTGCCTCAGCCTTCCAAGAAGCCGGAATTACAGGCGCGCGCTACCACACCCGGCTAATTTTTTTGATTTATTGTAGAGATGATGTCTCGCTGCCCAGGTGGGTCTCGAACCTGCGGGCTCAGGCAATTCACTCACCTCAGCCTCCCAAAGGCTCGGGATTACAGGCTGAGCCACTGAGCCTGGCTACAAGGCCACATTTTGAAAAAAATCAAGACTAACTCAAATCAGACCGTGGGCAGGGAGGTGTGCTAATAGAAAAGGAGAATATAGCCAGTAATGTGGTATAAAATGTCACCAGAGTATTGCCATCTCAAAGCTTTTAAGGCTGGTAAATAAGTATTTTTTGAATTAATGAATAAGACAATGATTAAATGTGGCAGGTAAAAATTCTTTGGCAACACTGTCAAATCATTTTTCTTTTTCATAACTTTTTAATGACTTCTTTTGGAAGTCTGTCTGGAAAGTCCAGGATACTAATGTATTACTTGGAATTATCAACTATACTGAAGGTTATTTTTTCCCAACTATGAAAGGGATGTGCTCTTTGAGGAAAAGAAAGCTCTATTTTATCCTTGTATTTCCTGCTATGCCTAGCAAATTAGCACCCAGGAAAGGACTGCTGTATAAAACAAGTGCTTATAAAATCCACCTCCAAACCCTACTATTTCTTCTTCTCCTTGGCAACTGCCTTGGCTCAGCTACTTGTTACCTAGGACCTGGGTGCCTCCCCTGCCTCCTAATTGGTTGGTCTCTCTCTGTGACATGTCTTGCCCTGTTTATTCTCCATTTATCAGATCTTCATCAGATCAGAATCTGATTGGATTCTAAAATCCAAATCTGGTACTGAACTACAAAATATTTCTGGAATGCCAACAGCTCTTCCTGAGCTTGCATTTTGTTCTTAGAAACATAGCTTTGGCAAATAATTTCCTTTTCAAAGCCTCAGTCTCCTCATCTGCAGAAGGGAGCTAGTGTAGTACCTATACCTCAGAGAGTTGCTGTCAGGTTTAAATTAGAAGAGGCACAAGAGCAGTTAGCATGTGCATGGCATGTAGTAGACACTTAAATTATTTATCACCTGGCACGAGCACTCTGAAGTCCAGGCTTAGGGAGACAGTCTGGTGCAACTCCCTCAGGAGGAGTGGTGAGAGGTTAGATGGAGCTTAGCTAGTGAAGAGGCAAAGTGAAACTTGAGGGCAGTAGAGGGGCTGGAGCATGGGACAGCAGATCAGCACGTAAGAAAGTGACTTTGGGGTACTGGGGATGATAGGCTGGTGAGCAGGAGCAACAAAATCTAGCTTAGAAAGGATGGTCTGAGTTAAAGTACTGGCAATGGGAATGGATGAGACATAGATTTGGAGACATTAAAAAAGTAGGTGTCAGAGTTCCTTGACTAATTGGACATGGTGGAAGTGGGAGGGAGAGAAGCCTGGCTTTTGTATTTGCCATTTACCAAGGCATGGAAACACTTGAAGAGGAAGTGGGAGAAGAGGGAAGATAAGATACAAATTGGCACTTCTTACCAATCCCAAACATGCCTTTTGCACCCCGACCCCCCAACTTAGCGTCCCTTCTCCCTAGCACTTTTCACATGATGCAGTGACTGCCTCTAGTGGAAGGTCTGTACCCCTCACCAGACCATGGGAGCCAAAAGTATTACCCACTCCACGACACAATTGAGTCTCCAACTGGGTGCGTGTGTATATGCGTCTGTATATGTATGCATATAATTATATACATACATATATACATAATTACATATAAATATGTGTATATGCATAACATATACACATACATGTCTATAATTGTGTTCTAAAAAGTGAAAGAGAAGGTAGAAAGTTGAATTTAGTCTTTTGAGAACAATGATAGCCTTGAAAACAGGCACTACCTTCTACATAACTCAATATTCTGATTCCTTGTCACCCCTTCACAATCCATTTCCTTTCAAGAGAGGATCCTTCATCTTTGCCACGTGAACCAATGAGCAGACTCCGGCAGGTCCCTGCGCCCGGAGCCTCAGTTTCCTTGTCAGCTGACTGAGGACCGCTTCCCCGCCTGTCAATCTCAGAGGTTCGGGGCGAAGCTCCAGCTGGGCTTCAGGAGACACAGCGTCCCATTCAGCCCCAACCCCCGCGCCTGGGCTAGCGCCACTGCTTTCTTCCCTGCTCTGGGTCGGGTCCTTCCCGGCAGCTGCCGCCCTCGGGTTGGGGCTCCTCCGGGTCCAGAACCTCCCCCGCTTCCCCTAGCAGCTGTCAGGGGGCCGTGCGGCCGTGGCCGAAGGCGGGACGCCGAGTTTCCCTCTGGCAAGGGACAGTGCCGGCCCACCGCTCCCCCCGCCCGCTTGGTCTTTGGGCCGCCGCCCACAGGGGCCGCTCACCCTCCATCATCTCTTGCGACAGTTGCTGCCCCGCGCCGCGTTCCGCCGCCATGTTGGCTGCTCTTCCCTTTCCGGAATCTGTCGCCTCAGGCCCCTCAACCAATCAGGACTCCCGGCTCACAGCCGACTCAGCCAATGGGATCCCGGCGCGGCGGCTTCATCTCCTGATGCGCCTGCGCAGGCCCAGCGCCTCATGGGAATTGGAGTTCACTCGCTAGGCCGCCGGCCGCGCCTCCCCCAGGACAGGTAATTTAAGGAAGCCGAGCCAGCGTAGTCGGGAGGAGAAAAACTGGGAAAGGAAGCCGGGAAAGCCGCGGTTGCAGGCGGACGGAGAGGGCGTCGAGGCAGAGTGAAGAGATGCTCTGGGTTCGAGGGTTGGTTTTTGTCACTGTCCCGACCTCGGAGGAGTAGAGGGACCGCGGGCTGGGCGGATCTACTCGCGAGCTGCAGTGTTCGAGTCGGATCCACGTGCATCCCTGGCCTCTGCGAGCCTCGCCGGCTGCGTCTGTGCAATGAGCCAAGTGGCAAGAGCGACAACTTTCGGGGTCTCCGCGGATTTAACCCGCTTGAAAGGTTGTCTTTCTAGAGAAAGACGCTCCGAGCAGGACGGGCAGGTGCAGGGCGCCCGCGCTTTTGGGGCCGCGGGCAGGCTCGGCACGCCAGCCGGACTCTCCTCGCTGGCGGATCTCAGTCCAGTGCGGGAGCCAAAGTTTCCGTCCGCCCCTCGGGCCCGCACTGCCCATGAGCGAGCCGCCACGCGTTCCCTGCCTTCAGCACGAGGCTGCCGAAAGACGATGCTCACCTTTCTCGATCCCGAGGCGCGGGAGACTGCGTCCACTGGTCCCAGCTGGCGGAGGCGACCGTCTATTTTGGCTCCTCCGAGGCGCCGTAGGGAGCGTCCGGTGCGTCCCTAGCAACGGTTAGCGCGGGCTTCTCGGCTCCTGCTAACTCAGTCTCACCCACAGACACCGGTGGTTGGCCCATGGCGCTTGTCAATCGGCACAACTTGCTCTGCGATTGGCCAGTGGGGCTAGACGCGCGGATGGGATCTTTCCGGCGGTGTGAAGCTAGCTTAGTGGCGTGACCCTCGCCTGCTCCAGGTGAGATACTTGGCATTCTGGAGAGCAGGTTCGTCTCCGCGCTTTCCTGAGGGTCGCTATCACCGGTCCTGCGACCCTGCTCTTGACACGCGGCCGTTCGCGCCGGGCCGAGAGGATCTGCAGCTTGGCCCTCGGAGGAGCGTCCCGACCCCCGACTCCTCTCCGTCCTTTGCGTGTCTTGGTCTGGCTCGGTGGCGGGGCTCCGGCCGTTTGCCCTGGGCCCGCGCCCAGAATGTCCCTACCCTGTCGGATGGTAGCCACCCCGGCGCTCCGTCTGCCCGTCTAGATTTAATTGTGTGCATTTCGTTTATTTATCGCCTGTCCTCCTAGAAGGTAAGCTCTAGGCGCGCTCCAGCTCTTACGGCTTCTGTGAGCATGGCAGAACGTTTGTGGAGTGAGTAGACGCTTCTTGACCTCCGCATTTGGATGTCCCGTACATACCTTGACTTTATCCTTAATCTTCTCTTTACTCGTTTTTCTTTTGCCGGAGCGTGGCAGGTACCTGGAAGGCTGTCTTGATGCCTTTCATTCCCTTGCCTTCCCACATCTCACTCAGTAAATCCTGCCAGTTCTACGTCTATTTTTCTCTTAGGGGTTCCCTGCTCTCCATCTTTCGGCTGTTACCTTAAGGCCTCATAATTCCTTGCCCGGATCACTGTAACCTCTCTCCTGGTTTCCCCCCTCCCCACCTCCTATAATACCTGGAATGATCTTTGTAAAATGTGTGTCTGGTCATGGTAATTCTAAGCATTGAGTCCTTAAAAGTCAATTGTCGTGATAAAATTCAGACTGCTTGAGCAGACATAGGAGATTCTGGGGGTTATGCCCAGCTTCTCCAAGCCCATCTCCATATACTTTCTTGTGTACTGAATTGCTCTCTGAGAGTCTTTGCCTTATGGTGTCTCTGGAAGGCTTTTTCACTTCACTTTGGAGGGCTCAGTTCTGCTGGTGTCTCCTCCAGGAAATCTTGGCTGACCTCTTCAATCTGGGAGGTGCCCTTTGCTTACATCCATCACATTAGTCATCCTGTATATTTATTAGGATGCCTTGATGCAAGAAACAACCACGTGGCTCCCAAACCTGAACTCCAGAGGAAGGCAGGTTTTGGAATGGGTTGACTCACTGGCACAAAATTTTCCAAGACCAACATCCTTGTCATTTTTGGCTCTGCTGTCCACAGTGTTGGCTTCATCCTGAAGCTGGTTCTGCTTTTGTTGCACAGTGGTGCTGGGTGCAATTAGAGCTATTTGCCTCATACATTATGTTCTGGCAGGAGAGAGACAGATGCTTCTAGAAGTTTCCTAGATGATCCTTGTAATGCTCTCCTCGCTTCTGTTTGGGGTCACTTGTGTATTCTGGAATTAAAACTAGCAAGGGAATACAATTACTCTGGCACCGGTAGGTGCTGTCTGCTTTCAAATTCCTGTGTTTGCTGGTCACAGTGGATACAAACGACTATTCTAAAAACCCAGGCCTGGATTAGCATTGGAATCAAAATTAAACTTGTGAAAAATTAAGTGTTCTAAGGTTGTGTGACGCCAGGCTCCGCTCTCTCACAAGGCCAGCCTGTGGCTATGAAGCATAAGGGGAGGCCCCAGGGTCTGGTGCTAGACCCTTCTGTCTCCATGGTGCACTGTGCTACTCTGTGCTAAACCGGCCCATGTGAACTTCAGATAGTTCAGGAGGCACAGAGGGAAAAAGGATTCATCTTTCCTTCTGCTCTCTTCTCACTTTCCTCTCTGGATACCATTGTAATTTTCAGTAAAGTACTTAAACTTTTCAACTTTAGACAGTATTTATCTACTTTCTCCCATGGAAGACAAATAATTTTATGTCCCTACCCTCCGTTGACATTTTCTTCCTTTCCCTCCCTTTTTATGTTAGTTATTTTGACAAAGTAAACTTTTGTAACATTTACAATGTACTCTGAATAGTTATATTACTTTTTAAAATTAAATTTTTGTAACATTGATTATGTAATCTGAAGTTATGTTTTTTACAGATTAAAGTTTTGTAACATAATGTATTCTGAAGAAGTATATTACTTCAAAAAAAAGTAAAGTTTTACAACATTTACAATGTATTTTGAAGCTCTAATAAAGTGTTTTGAGCTTTGTCTATAGATTAGTTCTAAAAGTAGAAAACTACCTTACATTATGATCATGCCATCATCACTTATTGAGTGCATTAGATGCTTGGAGAAGGAAAATATCTGTGACTAAATGTCATATTAAATGTTGCTTCTTGAAGGAGAGCAACATATTTTATTAACTTATTATTTAATTTCTTTCTAGCTTCTTACACATCTTTTAGTTCATGCTGATTTGTTGCCTTCTAGGATCCCATGCTGGAAGTGTATGTATAGAACATATCTTAATTTTTTTAGTTTGCATCAGTTGATTCACACAAAAGAATAAAGGTAATGTTAATCATGAATTGTACCAGTAAAATGAACAGATTTAAAGTCAGCATCCAAATGGGAAATCAGGAGGACCTGTGCCATGATGCCTCTTCCCCATTCCATGCCTACCCAGGGGAAACCACCTGCCTGAAGTTTGGGTTTATCAGTCTCTTATTTAAGAAATCCCACTGGGCGTGATGGCTCATGCCTATGCTTGAGCACTTTGGGAGGCCAAAGTGAGAGGACTGCCTGAGCCCACGGGTTTGAGACCAGCCTGGACAACTTGGCGAGGCCTCATCTCTACAATAAATCAAAAAATTAACTGGGCGTAATGGCGCGTGCCTTAGTTCCAGCTACTTGTAAGCCTGAGGCGGAAGGATTACCTGAGCCCAGCAGGTCAAGGCTGTGGTGGCTGGGAGCGTGCCACTGCACTCCAGCCTGGATGACAGAGTGAGACTCCAACTAAAAAAAAAAAACAAAAAAAACTTTTTATCACATATGTATATATTCCTATATATTTAGATTATTTTATAAGAAAGAAATCTTACTCTTGATTGTCTTTGTAACTTAATTCTTTTCTACTCATTATATTCTAAGATTTATCCTTGTGTGTAGTTCATTTGTTTTCACTGCTATAATTTCACTGCTATAATTGTTAATTTGTACTATATATATAGAGCACAAATTAACAATTTAAGTGGAAAATGCTGTGTGATAGTAGACAAATGTTTGACTTAAATTGTTTGCTACAGAGATTATATTAATGTATTTGAGTTCCTGTTGATCCAAATCCTTATCATCATTTTATATAATTAGAATTCTTAATGTCTGCTGACTGCATAGATGTAACATTATCATGATTATGCTAATAAGGTTAGGCTTCTTGCTATAGGTTTATTGGTTACTAGAATTTCTTCTCCTATGGAAACTCTTTTTCCTGTTTCTTGTTATTTTTCTTTTGGGCCATGTGTCTTTTAAAAGTTTTAAACTTTAAACTTAGCTGGGTGCAGTGGCTCATGCCTGTAATCCTAGCACTTTGAGAGGCAGAGGTGAGAGGACTTCCTGATTCCAGCCTGAGCATATCTACAAAAAAAAAAAAAAAAAATTAGCCTGGCGTGTTGGCACACACTTGTAGTTCCATCTATTTGGAAGACTGAAGCAGAAACCCAGCAGGTCAAGGCTGCAGTGGCCATGAGCATGCCACTGCACTCCAGCCTGGGTGATAGAGTAAGAAGACTCCAACTAAAAAAAAAAAATTGTTTTTTAAATTTTAAATAATTGTCTTTTAAAAACTATTCTGGATTTTAATTATCTGTTGGTTGTATATTTGGCAAATATCTCCTCCCAAATTTTGTGGGTTTTTTTTGGTTTCATTTTCTTTATGCTGTTTTTTATTAACAGATGTTCTCAATTTTAATGTTAAATTTATCAATCTTATTTTATAGCTTGAGCTTTCTGTGCCTTGTTTAAGAAACCTCTCCCTACCCCAAAGTCGTACAGATATTCTCTTCTATTTTCTTCTAAAAGTTTAGCGTTTTTATTTTATTTTGGTTGAGTCAGGGTCTCACTGTGTTGCCCAAGTTGGTACAAACTCCT